CGGGAACCGTGTTGGGCGCGCTGCGCGGTGTGTCCGTGGGTTGCGTGTCCGGGGTGTGGGCGTGCGGCTCGGCCTCGGGATGCGACGCTGTGTTGCCTCTGGGTGTGTGTGCGAGCCTGGCGAGGGTCCGAGTGTGCCATGTCTGTGCCCACTGCTTCCAAGTGCCTGGGTGCTGTGCGGCGTTCGTGTGTGTGTCGGGGTGTTGTGTTGCTTGTTCACCTGTTGTGTTTGTGCGTCATGCCTTTGTGTGTCCAGTCATTGTGTGTCTGGGTGTTGTGTGTTCATGTGGTGTGCTTGTGTTTGTGTGTTCATATGTGGTGTGTCTGGGAGTTGTGTATTCATGTGTTGTGTCTGTGTATCTGTGTCTTTGTCCATGTGTTGTATTGTGTGTCCGGGTGTTGTGTGTCCGTGTGTTTGTGTGTTACTGTGCTGTGTCTGGGTGTTGGTTGTGTGTCCACACATGGTGACTGTATGTCCAGACATTGTATATTCATGTGTTTGCGTGTTGCTGCGTTGTGTGTCTGGGCGTGGTGTTGTGTGTCCATGCATGGTGACTCTGTGTCTGGGCATTGTGTGTTCGTGTGTCGTATTCAGGCGTGGTGTTGTGCGTCCGGTGCTGTCTTGTGGTCCGTGCCTGTATGCACCAGGCGTGGATGTGCCTGTGTCTCTGTGCGTTCTTGTGTGTCCAGGTGGGAGGGTGGGTGCTGTGTATTGTTTTCTCCCCGGTGTGTGTGTGTGTGAAGAGACTTGGCCACACCTGTGTCCCTGGCTGCCCTGTGCCTCTGTCCATGCTGCCGGCTTGCACACCTGTGCGCACCTGTCCGCTGATCCGCTGGCCCTCCCCTCAGGGCGCCTTCAGCCGCTGCTACAAGCTGACGGACATGTCCACCAGCGCTGTGTTTGCCCTCAAGGTGGTGCCGCGTGGCGGGGCCGGGCCTGGGTGCCTTCGCACACAGGGAAAGGTGCGTGTCCCGTCAGTCCCTAGGGCCCGCAGCCCGCAGCATTTCCCAAAGAAGGCCCTGCCCTTTCGTCCCAGCCCTGGGTGGACATGAGATTGCACACGAGGCAGGCGAGCATCCTGCAGGCAGGTACATGTCGGGGCCGTGCCTGCAGGTGGACCGTGAGATTGCCCTGCACAGCCGCCTGCGACACCGCAACATCGTGGCCTTCCACGGACACTTTGCTGACCGCGACCACGTGTACATGGTGCTGGAGTACTGCAGCCGCCAGGTGCCCGGGGGGTGGGGAGAGGGCAGCATTCGTGTCGGCTATGCCCGTCTGTGTCCACCCCGTGTCCATCTGCACCTCGCTGCTGACCCCGAACCATCCTGTGTGCCCTCTGCTGTCCAGTCGCCAGCGCTTCCTATGCCTACATGGGGCCATTTGTGTCCATCCTTTACTCACCTGGGCACACCTAGGCTCTCGATCCACCTGCCACACCTGGACCCAGCTTATACTCCTGTGACCGCCTGGGCCCATCAGAATACATTTGCTTCTTCTTGGCCCCCTTGGACGCACCCATACCCACCTGTACACACCAGCATGCCCCTATGCCTACCTGGGGTCGCCCACGCCCCTCCTGCACCCAGCTGTGCCCACCGTGGCCTAGTTGAATTTAGTCATGCCATCATACATCCCTGAACTCACTGTGCCCATTAAGTACACCTGAGCTCACCTGGGTCCACCTGTGCCAGAATATGCCCCCTCTGCGCTCACTGCCGATCACCTGGTCCTCCCTTCTCAAGCTGACGGGCATGTCCACCAGCGCCGTGTTCACCCTCAAGGTGGTGCCAGGTGCAGGACTGGGGCTGAGTGGCTGTGCCTGTGGGGAAAGGTGCGTGCCCCCCTCAGTGGCCACGTGGGCCCATCTGAACCCGTAGGCTCCTATTGGGGTTGGTCATCTGTGCTCACCTGTGCTCATCCCAGAGTCAGCCATACCACCTCGGCCAGGTTGAGCTTACCTTTGCCTTCTAATGTGGGGCCGCTGGGTGCCGGGACTGCTGCCTGCTGGTCACCTGCAGTCTTTGGCCCACGTGCTGAGGGCGCGGCAGACCCTGACGGAGCCAGAGGTGCGCTACTACCTGCGGGGCCTGGTCAGCGGCCTGCACTACCTGCACCAGCGGCACATCGTGCACCGAGACCTGAAGCTCAGTGAGTGCCGGGAAGGGGAACTGTGGGCGGGGGCTGTGGGTGGAGGCGTCAGGAGTGCCGGGAAGGGGGAACTGTGGGAAGGGGCTGTGGGCGGAGGCATCGGGAGGTGGGTGCAGATCTGCCCCCATGCACGATGCCCCTCCCACTGCCAGGTAACTTCTTCCTTAACAAGAACATGGAGGTGAAGATTGGAGACCTGGGGCTGGCGGCCAAGGTGGGACCAGGGGGCCGCTGCCACGGGTGAGAGCCAGGGGGGCTCTGAGCAGTCTGTCCGGGTGGGCACGGCTGGCCCTGAAGTCTGGCACGGGGATGCCAGCCTTCCTGAGCCCCCCCATGACACCCCTCCTAGAGTGCTCTGTGGGACCCCGAACTTCCTGGCCCCCGAGGTTGTCTCCAGAAACGGGCACTCCTGCCAGTCAGACATCTGGGCTCTGGGCTGCATCATGTGAGTGGGGTCCTGGGGAGGGCGGGCAGGGCCTCCAGGGGGGCAGGTGCAGCAAGGGGGAGCCTGCACGGAACAGGTGGGCACTGGTGTGCAGGGCGGGGCGCATGGAACAGGCACCTGTCACCACCAAGTGTGCAGTATGAACAGTATGTGTGTGGGGATGCGTGTGCAAGGGAGGATGGGGGAGGGTGTGCACAGACACGTGGACAGGTATGGGCAGGTGGCAGCAGCACAGGCAGGTCAGGGTGTATGTGTACAGGGATGCAGCATGTGTGGGCACAAGGCAGGTGTGAGCGGGCATAGGATAGCATTGGAAGGTGGAGGCCGGGCGTGGTGATTCACGCCTGTAATCCTAGAGCTTTGGGAGACCAAGGCAGGAGGATCGCTTGAGCCCAGGAGTTCAAGACCAGCCTGGCCAAGTTGGCAAAACCCTGTCTCTACAAAAATTACCAAAATTAGCCAGGAGTGGTGGTGTGCAGCTATTCAGGAGGCTGAGATGGGAGGATCGCTTGAGCTCAGGAGGTGGAGACTGCAGAGGGCTGTGATCGCACCACGGCACTCCAGCCTGG